TGTGGTGGGGACTCTGTTGGGGTGATGGGCTAGAAGGGGGGTAATGCCCAAGGTTATCACAGAGAGACCACGAGTGAACGTGTGTGACCTCTGGTTGTGTGTCTGTCATGTGTTGAGTGTTAGGCATGGACTGTGTTCAGTGCTAAGTGTTAGTGACCGTGAGATTCTGGAACTGTGGTCAGCTTTGTGTTTGTGGCTGATGTGAGTGTGGCTGTGCATGTGGCAGGGAATGGACTCTCTTGTGTGATTAAATTTGAGTGTTATATAGCTGTGGGGTAGTGTGTGGAATCGGGTCAATGGTATGTGGTTGCTGCTGACTCTGGTCATGTGTCCCTGGGATGGGGCTTTGTGTGTGTGTGTGTGTGTGGTCTTTGTACCTGCTGTAGACCAGCAGTGTTGTGCACTGGGAAGGTCACCTGCAGAGATGGGGAGAGCATCTGGGTGAGGTGTGGTGGGGACTCTGTTGGGGTGACGGGATGGAAGGGGGTCGTGCCTGAGGTTATCACTGTGCCAGCTGTGCACTTGTACATATGGGACTCTGAGCGTGGGGCTCTTCTGAGTGCGGGTGACAGAAGAGTGATTGATGGCTGAGCTGTGCCTGGCCGTCCTGGTGGCTCTGGATGTGGGTGTCTGGCCATGGTATTTGGAAACCTGGTCTCCGGCATCAGGTTCAGCTAGGTCAAAGATTTTACCATGAGGTGGGAGTAGGAGGTGGAGAAATGGCATTACTAGGGGAAGTAGTTGTAGTTGTCAGCATGGTCTTTCTGAACTTGTGTGGTGGACTTTTTTTTTCCTTTTGAGGCATGAGCCTGTCTGATACACATAGGGAGAGAAACTGATTCTTGTGTGTCTTTGTGTGGTACTGTTATTATTTATTTTTTATTTTAGACAAGTTCTCACTATATAGCCCTGACTGGACTGGAACTTCATATGTAATCCAGGCTAGCCTCAATCCCATAGCGATCCACCTGCTTCTGCCTCCTGAGTGCTGGGACTAAAGTTGTACACCACCACACCAGTTTAACTGGTAGATCTTACTTCTAAGAGAATATATCTGTGTGTTAGGTTGCGTTTCGAGGAAAGGTAAAGTGTGAAGATGTGGTTTGTGTCCAAAGACAGCCTGGAGTGCTGGCAGTTTACCTTAATCTCAACACCTGAGAGGTGGAGACAGGAGGATTGCTTTTAGTATGAGGCCAGGCTGAGATACATAGTAAGGTCCAAACCTACATGAACCCCTGTATTAAAAAGAAAAGAGGGACTGGAGAGCCGGGCGTGGTGGTGCACGCCTGTAGTCCCAGCATTTGAGAGGCAGAGGCAGGTGGATCTCTGTGAGTTCAAGGCCAGCCTGGTCTACATAGTGAGTTCCAGGACAGTTGGGGCTACAGGGAGACCCTGCTTCAAAAAGACCAAAAAAATAAGAAAAGGAGGGACTGGAGAGCTGGCTCAGTGGTTAAGAGCACTGGCTGCTCTTGTGAAGACCTGGATTCAGTTCCTAGCACCCACATGGCAGCAAACAACCATCCATAACTCCAGTTCCAGGGGATCCAACACACTCTCTGACCTCCATAGACATTGCACCCATGACACGGGTGCACTTATATATGTGCAGGCATAACACTGGAACTTCATACACATAAAATAAAAATAATAAAATATTTTTATAGAGGCTGGAGAGATGGTTCAGTGGTTAAAGCATTGGCTGTTCTTGCAGAAGACCCGAGTTTGAACCCCAGCACCCACATAGCAGCTAACAACCATCTGTAACTCCAGTTCCAGGGGATCCAACACTCTCTTCTGGTCTCCTGGGGCACTGCTGATATGGGTACACTTACATAAAATTAAAAAAATTTCTAGCTGGGTGTGGTGGGGCACACCTTTAATCCCAGCACTTGGGAGGCAGAGGCAGTCAGATCTCTGTGAGTTGGAGGCAGCCTGGTCTACATAGTGAGTAGCCAGCTAGGGCTACAGGAAGACCCAGCCTCAAAAAAATCCCTCCAAAATAAATAAAATAAATTTTAAAATTAAAAAGAAAAATAAGCCGGGCGTGGTGGCGCATGCCTTTAATCCCAGCATTTGGGAGGCCGAGGTAGGCGGATCTCTGTAAGTTCAAGGCCAGCCTGGTCTACATAGTGAGTTCCAGGACAGCTGGGGCTACAGGAAGACTCTGTCTCAAAAAGACCAAAAAAAAAAAAAAAAAAAGAAAAAGAAAAGAAAAATGAAGTCCTGTGCTACATGCCTGTAATACCAGCACTTGGAGGTAGAGGCACCAGGATCAGGAGTTCAAGGTTATCCTCAGTTACATAGAGAGTTGAGGCTAGCCTAGACTGCAGGAGACTCTGTAAAAACAAATATGTAAAACAAAACAATGAAATGTACTGGGGGTCTCAGGCAGTCAACCTTTCCTTTAGCTTATTATGTAGCCAAGGATGACTGAATCCCTTGACCCTCCTGCCTCTCAAGAGCAGGGATCTCAGATGTGTACCACCACACCTATCATGCAACCTCCCCCAGCCCTGTTTGGTACTAGGCCTGGAACCCAGGGCCTTGGGATGCCAGGCAAGTGCTCTACCAATGAGCTATGTCCCTAGCACCCAACTTTTCTTTTCGAAGCAGAGTTTATAGTCCAGGCTTGCCTGGACCTCATGATTCTCCTCCCTCAGTGTGCGCTACCACACCCAGCTGTGAGCTGTGGGGTTTGTTTTTAGTTTTGTGGATTTTGGGAGGGGGGGCTTTCGTGTTTTGTATTGGTTTGGTTTTTGTTTTGTTTGAGACAGGGTCTCCCTGTAGCCCTAGCTAGCCTGAACTCACTATTTAGACCAAGCTGGCCTCAATCTCACAGAGATCCACCTGCCTCTGCCTCTGGAGTGCTGGGATTAAAGGCCTGTGCCACCAACACCTGAACTTTTATTTTTTTTAAGATTTATTTGTATGACTTTTTTTTTTTTCGGTCTTTTTGAGACAGGGTCTCCCTGTAGTCCCTGCTGGCTTGGAACTCACTATGTAGACCAGGCTGGCCCTTGAACTCACAGAGATCCACCTGCCTCTGCCTCCCTCCTTGAATTCACAGAGATCCACCTGCCTCTGCCTCCCTCCTTGAACTCACAGAGATCCTCCTGCCTCTGGCGCCACCTCATTTGCCTACAAGTGCATCATAATGTATCGCAGCATTGGATCCCCTGGAACTGGAGTTAAGGACAGTTATTAGCTGCCATGTGGGAGCTAGGAACTGAACCTGGGTCCTCTGCAAGAGCAGCCAGTGCGCTTAACTGCTGAGCTCTCTCTCCAGCCCTGTTCCCTGTGTTTTTAAAAGTACAGTGTTTTGTGTTTCTATGATGAGAACACTAACTACTTTGTATTTCTTCTTCTATTTTGTTATTGTTTCTTTTACTATGTTGTATTTCTAAGGAGGGAATACGTGTATGCGTGTTTGTTAAGAGAGGGTGTGGGTGCATGTGGAAGAAGGGAGTGTGTAGAGAGTGTGTCATATTCATTAGAGAATTTGTGTGGGTCATTTTTTCATTAAGAAAGGCTGGGGCTGGAGAGATGGTTCAGTGGTTAAGAGCACCGATTGCTCTTACAAGAGGACCTGGGTTCGGTTCCTAGCACCCACATGGCGGCTAACAACCACCCACAACTCCACTTCCAGGGATCCAAGGCCCTATTCTGTCCTCCATGGGCATTACACATATGTGGTGCATTTACATGCGGCTGGGGATGTTGTCAGTGGGTAGAGAGCTCACCTAGCATAGTCAACTTGAGAGTGCATAGCATGTCCAAGACCCTGCATCCTGAAGACCAGTTCATCCCCAGCACTGCATAACTGTAGTGTTGCATGCTGTAATCACACAGGAAAGATCATAAATTCAAAGTCATCATCAACTCTATACAGAGAGTTTGAGACCAGCCTGGGCTACATGGGACCCAATGTCAAACAAACAGATTGTCTACCTTTAATCTCAGCACTCGGGAGGCAGAGGCAGAGGCAGAGGCAGACAGACATCTGTGAGTTTGAGGCCAGCCTGGTCTACATAATGAGTTCCAGGCCAGCCAGGGTTATATAGTGAGACCCTGTCTCAAAAATTTAAAAAATTAAGGATGGGCATAGTGGCACACACCTTTAGTCCCAGCACTGGGGAGGCAGAAGCAGGCGGATCTCTGTGAGTTGGAGGCAGCCTGATCTACATAGTGAGTTCCAGGCCAGTTGGGGGTACAGAGAAACCTCATCTTGAAAACAGATTAGTTAAAATTTTAAAAATAAAAGCAAGAGGGAGAAAATGTTTGTGTTTGTGTTTGTGTGTGTGTGTGTGTGTGTGTGTGTGTGTGTGTTATTTCTAAGTAGTGTGTGTCTTCCAGGATTACCCTCAAAACATCTGACCTGGGGGCTGGAGAGATGGCTCAGTTCCTTGCACCCACATGGCAGCTAACAATCATCCTTAACTCCAGTTCGGGGGATCCAATGCTGTCTTCTGACCTCTGAGACACTGCATGACATGGGTGCACTTACACACATGCAGGCAGTGTACACTCATACACATAAAATAAAAATAATAAACGAAATAATTAAAAATACATCTGACCTGGTTACCCATATATAATGACATAAAATCCCACAAAACCCCATGTGTGGGATCCCACCCCTTACCAGACTTTAGGTGCTTAAGTGTCCCATGGCCAGTGCCATCCATGAACCACACCTGTCACATGTGTGTCCCAAAAAGCTGTGTGCTGGCTGTGGTCGGTGGAGCCCCTGGTCCTTAAGGTCTTGTCATAAGAGCGGAGTAGCCAATGTGGGGCCCCCTTTTTGATTCCCCCAACCTCCAGGCCACTGGCTCTGCTACTCTACCTCCAGCACCCCATCCCTCAGCCGATCCTCCAGCTCCACCCCCCCCCCCCAGTGGCCAGACTGGTTTCCGACAAAACACCCTAAGAATGAGCTCACCAGGAGCCTGCCGCCTCCACACGCCCCGCCCCCCACTCCCGGCAGAGGCGGGGCCTCGGGTCCCAGGGCTCTTGGCTGACAGGGAGCTCAGAGCTGGGGTGTCTGGGGACCTTGGGGTGGGGAGGGCTAACCAGGTGAGCTGAGTACAGCAGGAGGTGGGGGTATGGGCAGCGCAGGAACCAGCTGTTGGCTCTTTTGGCTAATTACACACAGAAATTTGGAGTTGTTCTCAGGGCTCTACTCTGAGTTACAGAACATAGGTAGATTAGAAGGTTCCTGGATGAAGGCCTGCTGGGATGGAGAGGGCCAGGATGGGTAGACAGCGGGATGACTGGATGGAGGGAGGTTTTGGGTCTGCCTGGGCTAGCCAGTGACTCTCATCTCCACTACCCCCTCTTCCCCCGCCAGGAACAACCATGTCTGTGCAGGTGGCAGCGCCTGGAAGCACGGGGCTGGGCCCGGAGCGCCTCAACCCTGAGGAGCTGGTGAGGCAGACTCGGCAGGTGGTCCAGGGGCTGGAGGCCCTCCGGGCTGAGCACCACAGTCTGGCTGGGCACCTGGCCAAGGCCTTGGCTGGTCAGGGCCCTGTGGCTGCCGTTGAGTTGCTGGAAGAGAAGCAACAAGCGGTGAACCATTCGCTGGAGGCCATCGAGCTGGGATTGGGCGAAGCCCAGGTATGTGGCATCGGGTTAGGGGCTTGATCTAGGATGGAGGAGAGCCAGGGATGAGGACTGTGTATGTGGGGGGCTCAGGCCTGGTTGGGGAGGCCAAGGGATTAGGGGACTGCATATATAGAGGAGGAAGTCCAGGGGAGAAGGAGGTCGGGAGGAGCCAGGCTTGGAGGGAGGGCCTACAAGCCAGAGGTGGGGTCCCTAGGAAGCATTAGGGGAAGATTTTATGTGTGATAGATGTGTGATTTTTATTGTGGTGCTGTGGATAGAACCCAGGGCCTGGCTCATTCTAGGCAAACAATATCCTGTTGAGCCACACCCTCACTGGGGGACTCCAGGTAAGTGCTGTACCACTGAGTCATGCCCCCATCCCCTCATTGCGGGATTCTGGGCAGGTGCTCTACCACTGAGCCACACCCCAGCCCCTCACTGGGGGATTCTAGGCAGGTGCTCTACCACTGAGCCACACCCCAAGCCTTTCACTGGGGGATTCTAAGCAGGTGTTGGGTGACACAGGTGGACTATGAATTAACCCTAAGTGTAATTTGGGTGAAATCAGGGATTTCTGGAGAAAACAGCATCACCAGAGCCACACTGTGGGGTGTTTCCAGAATCTAGGAATGTCTGGCCTACTATAAAGCCAGGCTGGGTCTGGGGCTATCTGCTGGGTGTGAAACAGCTTCTCCTTTGTGGCTCCCAATGCCACAGGTGCTGCTGGCTCTGTCTGCCCATGTGGGTGTGTTGGAGGCTGAGAAGCAGAGGCTACGGGCGCAGGCACGGAGGCTGGCCCAGGAGAACACATGGCTTCGTGAGGAGCTGGAGGAGACGCAGAGGCGCCTGCGGGCCAGTGAGGAGGCTGTGGCCCAGCTGGAAGAGGAGAAGAGCCACCTCCAGTTCCTGGGGCAGCTACGACAATATGACCCACCTGAGGAGAACCAGGTAACGGACAGGGTGAGCTGGGGGTGCCCAGTCCTCATTGAACGTTTGGAGTAACCCCTCAACTACACATGGAATCCCCAAATTCCCACACCCACCAGAACACTGCAAGATTCCCCCTAGCTGCTCCCTAAAGCCCCCAACCCTCGGGGACCCTCGGGAGACCCCTTAGACCTCTGATCCTTTGACAAATGCTAAGATAGAACTGGTGTAGTGATGCACCTGTAATCTCAGTCCTGGGGAGGCTGAGGCAGGAGGGTGCTGTGAGTTCAAGGTTAGCACACAGCCCTGAGGTAGATACCTCAGGGACCGCAGCCTCTGAAACAAGCCCCTTTCCTCAAGACTCCCCACTTTCCTGTTTTCCCACAGCGGCCTGAATCCCCACCTCGGAGGGACAGCCTGGTGTCCCTGTTTCCCAGTGAGGAGGAGGAGAGGAAAGGTGAGTATGGGGAGCCCAGGCACGATGTGGGAAGCACAGCTACAAGGCTGGGGGTGGGAGCTTTGGCCTGAGGGACTCCCAGGCTTCTGACCAGGACATTGGAGGTCAGGGTTGGGTCAAGAGGAGGAAGCAGGTGGCCCTCATAAGGCAGGCCAACTGTGACCTAGGCAGGCATCCATATTCACATCCCACAGGGCCAGTGATGGGTAGGTTTGTGTCCCCAAGCCAGGACACATCCCACCAGCCAGTTAGATGCCTGTGATCCCTGATGTCAGCGCAGGGCCCCCATGCAATGAGGTAGCTGTGGGGTGCAGGTTGAGCCCCACAGTGAGTCCACATTGCCTCCCCCAGGTCCTGAGGCAGCTGGAGCTGCTGCAGCTCAGCAGGGCGGCTATGAGATACCAGCCCGCCTTCGGACCCTGCACAACCTGGTGATCCAGTACGCAGGCCAGGGCCGCTACGAGGTGGCTGTGCCTCTGTGTCGTCAGGCCCTGGAGGACCTGGAGCGAAGCTCAGGCCACTGCCACCCTGATGTGGCCACCATGCTTAACATCCTGGCACTGGTATACAGGTGAGGGCTGAGGCAGATGGGAAGGGCAGGGACCCTGGGAGGGGGCGATGGGAGGACACTCTGGGGCAGGAGCCAGCATGAAAAGGGACAAGAAGGAAAAACCCAGAGTCATAAGCCACATGGGCACCAGGGCGGGCAAGAGACTTGGGTAGCGGATGCTTGACACGGATTTGACAGTGTGGGGACCCAGTGCCAGAGGCCTGGAGGGTGTGGGGAAACTCCAGAGGGACCCGTGGAAGGGGCCACCCATTTCTGGCTCAGGCCAGCCAGTGGCCCCAGCTTGATGGAGCCCTGGTCCCTGTTCCCTGCAGAGACCAAAACAAGTACAAGGAGGCCACAGAGCTTCTTCACGACGCCCTGCAGATCCGGGAGCAGACGCTGGGCCCTGAACACCCTGCCGTGAGTGGTCATCCAGAGAGGGAGGGAGGACTTGGGGGGCTGGACCCACCTGTCTCCTCTGCCAACCGTCCCCCTGCAGGTGGCGGCCACCCTCAACAACCTGGCTGTTCTGTACGGGAAGCGTGGGCGTTTCCGGGAGGCAGAGCCCCTTTGCCAGCGTGCCCTGGAGATCCGGGAAAAGGTGCTCTACCCATCCCTCTTGCCCTGTGTGACTGGTACCTATACCATGCCATGCTTCCTCCCTGTAAGCCCTGGTACCTTGCATTAGCTAGCAGGCCCCACCCTGGTTTAAGACTTAAACCAGTCCATCCCAGGACCTACCATCATGATCTAATTTGAGCTTACAATTCATCTTGACTCTGACCTTTTGACCCCTCACATGCCCCTAAGCAGATTTGTTGGACCTTGTACCTCATGACTGCTGATCTCACTAACCCCTGGCTCCCGAATGTAACTTCCATTTTGTTTCTGTTCCCAACCTGTGACCCTGGTATGACAAGGTGCATGATGTAGACTACCCCAGGTGACTGATGGCTTATGCACCCCAACCCCAGGTTCTGGGTGCAGACCACCCCGACGTGGCCAAGCAGCTCAACAACCTAGCCCTGCTCTGCCAGAACCAGGGCAAGTTTGAGGATGTGGAGCGGCATTATGCACGGGCCCTGAGTATCTATGAGGCCCTGGGGGGGCCACACGACCCCAACGTGGCCAAGACCAAGAACAACCTGGTGAGGCAGGGGTGGGTCCTGTCGCCCCCAGGGGGTCTTTCAGCACAGAAAAGCAGAAGCCACAGCAAACAGCCTGCTCTGGGTCAGGCCTTTATTGTGGGCACACCCCTCCAATAGCACTTGACCCTTGAGGTAGGAGCTGCTGTCACCCCATTTTGTACATGAGGAGACTGAGGCACAGAGGTGTGTCGGTGGAGCAGGAGCTCAGCGGCAGGAACCTGAATACTGTGTCTATCCCAGATAGGAAGTGGGGCTGTTGGGGCTGCCGTGGTAAGCTGGGACAGGATGCCGATGGGTGGGTCTGAGAAGTTCTGAGACAGGCCAGGATCCACAGGCCCGCCCTCCCTGCAGGCCTCAGCCTACCTGAAACAGAACAAGTACCAGCAGGCAGAAGAGCTGTACAGAGAGATCCTCAGCAAGGAAGCCCTGCCCGCCCCACTTGGTGAGCCCCACTCCTGTCCCCTCTCCTGCCCTCTCCCCTCACAACTCCTATAACCCTGGTGTCTCCTCTTCCACCAGGAGCCCCCAATGCAGGCACAGTGGGTGACGCAGAACAGCAGGTAAGGAGGCCTGGCCTCAGGTCCCCATAGGGACTGGTGGGTCTGGGTGGTCTTGGGGACCCACCCATCCCTGTCCCCCTCCCCAGGTCCTGCGTCGCAGCAGCTCCTTCACTAAGCTCCGAGAGTCCATCCGGCGGGGAAGTGAGAAGCTTGTCTCCCGCCTCCGAGGCAACAGCATGGCAGGGGCCGCTGGGTGAGTGCTGGGTGAAGTCACCAGTCCAGAACCTTACATGGCTCCCATGTCCTCTGTGCCTACTGGAACCCAGGGCCCAAGTGTCCTTCTGGATTCACTCAGTTCTTTCTTGGCCTCCTTTAAAGGATGAAGAGAACCATGTCACTCAATATGCTGAATGTGGATAGTCCAAGAGCTGCCAGGACGCAGGTGAGGTGCTGATGATGAAGCACAGGGGTGCTGGTAACAGGCTCAGCAGGACAGGAAAGGTGGTGGAGGTGATGGAGAGGGCCACAAGAGCCTCAATGTCACCTGGAGAATGGCAATCTATCCACAGCTCTCCACACGGCACCTGAGCGAGGCCCCTCGGACCCTCAGCGCCAGCACCCAGGACCTGAGACCACGCTAGGGTGGACTGGCCATGGTGGCCGCAGCTTCTCAGGGAGGGACAGTCAGGTGGATTATCATGTGCCCTGCCTGAGGGGCACCTGTGGATTGGACTCCCTGCAATTAAAAGGCTGTAGATTGGCATTGGGTATCTGCCTGAGGGGCCTCTGGGAGTCCCAGCATCTCCGGGAGGCCACTAGGGCCACCCCATGGTTCTATGTTCAGAGCTGCTGTGCAATCTGCTCAATCCGATGCAGCGTCTCCTCTGACTGCAGCTGCTCCAGGCTGAGCAGTGACAGGCCCAGCTGATCCTCCTGCAGGGGACAGAGGGAGGGAGGTTGACATGTCCACGTAATCCAGAGTATGTGTCCCTGAGAACAGAACATGGGCCAGCAGGGTCCTCTGTCTGCATCCCCTGGGCAGCCCACTCTTTCCCTTCCTGGACCTGGGATATAGGTCCCTGAAGGCACTATGAACAGGGTGCAGGGCTGGACTCACCCGGTGGAAGGGCTGCGCCATCTGCCGCAGGAAGTACTTGGCCACCTGCACGCCCTCATCCACAGTCAGGTTGAGGTTGGCGTCGGTCAGGTGCTCCTGGATCCAGCGAGGCAGCTTTCCACGTTTGTCAGCCCGGGCAAACCGCTTCAAGGGAAGGAGAGAACATCAGGCCCCAGGTCAGAGCCCAGGCTGCCCACTGTCCCTGTGACCCACCACTGAGGAAAAGGAAGGGGGATCATTTTGGCTGGGGTGCCCAGAAGCCCTGAGCCCGCACCTTGTCAGCAAAGACCATGAGGCCGTAGTCTGTCTTGCCCCTGATGGCACGACCCACGCACTGGGCAGCATGGCGCATGGCATCAAAGGTGAGGAAGTCATTCTCTCGGATCTGGAACTGGTCCCGGAGGTACTCTAGCCGGGCCTGGAGGGGATGAGTCCCAGATAGGGAACCAGCCTCTTCTGTAAGCCAAAGCCCCCACTCCCCCATACTGCTCAGCTCACCTTGAGGATCCGGCTCTGGGTGTAGACGTAGGGGACGCCAAACATGATCACAGCCCGCCCATAGTGGTGCACTGGGGGCAGGACAGCAGGACTTACAGTGCATCCTGGGGTTATACTGGTAAGTGGGTAGAAACCCTCTGTGTGCCCAGGCCATGGGAAGGGGAGAGCCAGTCTACTCACCAAAGTCGATCCCCTCTGACACTTTGCCCCGGGCCACTGAGAGGAGGATGGCGCCACGGCCATTCTCACAGGCCTGGGGAGGGGAGATTGAGGCAGCGGCTGTCACTCTTCAGCCCTCTCCCGCTGGCTCACCTGTTGATGTTTCCCAGCCTGCACCAGGCACCCACCTCCTGGTACTTCTCCAGGGCCACACTGGTCTCAGCCCCATCCTGGGTCTCAATGAAGAGTAGCTTGTTTCTCTGGATGTTTTCAAGGATGCCCTGCAGTGGATGTGGCGGTCAGGACAGAGGACAGGTACAAGGCAAGCATTCCTGGTTCAGCCCAGTGCTGCTATGAGCTCCAGCTGTCCAGCCTCTGGCTGTCCAACAGAGCAGGCACATGGCTTAAGGTGGCCAATCAATGCACCCCCATCCCAGCCAGTGACTCATGGAAAGGCTGATCATAATTCAGGCAGGGCCAACCAGAGGTGGTCCTGAGAATTCAATCCTGACATTGTGATAGGGACGGTGAGGGGCTGAGGCAAGGACAGGCAGCCCATGGGGACAGACCAGGGTTCAGTGCAGCTCTGGGGTAGGGAAGTATGGGATGTCTAGGAAAAAAAGAACTTTGGCTGGGTGTGGTGGTACATGAATTTAGTCCTAGCACTAGGGAAGCAGAGGCAGGTGGATCTCTTGAGTTCAAGGCCAACCTGGTCTACTTAAGGGGTTCCAGGCCAGCTTGGGGGTACAGGGAGACCCTGACTCTCACACTGCACATGAGATCAACCTGAAGTGCCTCAGATACTGATGGTGCCACTAAAACTACAGAGCTTCCAGAAAGAAGACTATTTTTATGTCCACCAAGCAGGCAAACATTTTCCCTAGTACGAGGGATTGAGGGCCTATGGATGCTAGTCAAGTGTTGTACCACTGAGCCACACCCCAGCCCCTCACTGGGGGATTCCAGGCAGGTGCTCCACCACTGAGCCACACCCCCAGCCCATTCTTTCTCCCTCTACCCTGCCAGTCAGCGGGCACTGTGGTGAACTTCCACAATGCCCCACAGCCTCATCCATACACTTCTCCGGCTCCTGGAAGACTCTTATTTCTGGGAGTCCTGGTCCAACTTAACTCTGCAGACCCTGAAGTTCCCAGGCCTGCTTGCTGGGGTCTCCATACCAAACCCTGTGTACTGGGGGAGTCAATCTTGTGGTAACCCAAGAACAGTATGGCACAGGGAGCCCCAAAGGCAGGTGTGGTCAGCTCTGGGGCAGGGGCATGTGCTGCTGGTTCTGTACATTGTCCATTTGTCCATGTCATGTGCCCCCACAGGATGGCATACAGAGCTGAGGGCTCATCGGCCACTGTGGCCCGGCATACCTGCTCATACCAGGAGGCCACGGTGCTCTCCATGTACTGGTAGCTGGTGAAGAAGGCCACGATGCCAAAAGGCAGGTGTGGTCAGCTCTGGGGCAGGGGCATGTGCTGCTGGTTCTGTACATTGTCCATGTCATGTGCCCCCACAGGATGGCATACAGAGCTGAGGGCTCATCGGCCACTGTGGCCCGGCATACCTGCTCATACCAGGAGGCCACGGTGCTCTCCATGTACTGGTAGCTGGTGAAGAAGGCCACGATGCCATCGGGGACCACAGCGGACATCTCCAGCAGGAGGTTGCCATAGTTGCGGATCACAGCTGTGGGGTTCAGAGGTTGGACTCTCCTGGCCCAGGACCTGCTCCCTGTCTTGATCTTGGGGTTCCCAGGAGCCCCACTGAAGTGATCTACACAAATCCCTCATTTGTCCTCCCATGGCCACATAATGGACCGTGGCCATATAAAGGGCATCTAGCAGGGGCTCTTCCAGGCAACACTTGGGGGCTGGAGTAGTGCCCCAAGGTCACTGTGCTCCACCCTGTGGCAGCACACAGACTCCCAGAGAGAGAAGACCCAGGGCAGATCCCATTCTGCAGTAGCACACCAAGGGCAGTAAGGGACCTCAACTAAACTACTGAGAGCCTGGGGCCCTGTCCTCACCCACTGGAAAACCCACCCAAGCCAAGCCCACAGGCAGCTCACCAATATCTTCCCGGGTCTCGAATTTGGAGCTGATGGCCACCTGGTCATTGCCACGGCCAATGATCTGGTAGAAAAAGTCAGGATGAGGTGGTGCTGACTGCCTCCACGTTCAGTCAAAGCTCCCGTTTTTCAGTGTTTAAGGTAGCCCAAGCTGGCCTTGAACTCACTACATAGCCAAGGATGATCCTGAACTCATCTCCTTGTCGCTAGCTCCCTAGTGCTGGAATTACAGGCATGAATAACCACACCTGGTTTATGCATTGCTGAGGCCTTGTGCATGCTAGGCAAGCACTCTATTGAATTCATCCCCAGCCCTGAAAAGCTTTTTATAGACACAGTGGCATTAGATGAACTCTTAGCTATCTTGTTATCTGCACTGCCAGAGCAAATCACCCCAGCTCAGAGATGGCGAGCCACCTGCCTAAGGTCACACAGCAGATGAACAGCAGAGGAGAAACTGAGCCAGGCTGTATGCGGCTATGCAGCAGCTATACTCAGGCCAGTCCAAACAGAGTCAGAACACTGCTCACCCCCACAGCAAGCACCCCATGGCAGCCCTCCACAGGCTACCACACAGTGGGTGGTTGGAAAGTTAAGAAAACCCACACACTGTTTAAAGCAAGTTTATGATTTTGTGTTGGGCAACATTCCCATAGTTCTGAGCTGCACGTAGCCTGCAGAGGCCAGTACACATCAACCTGGACCCTAGCTTCAAAGAGACTGAGGACCTGGGTCCCACACCAACATTACAGGGAGGGGCCTGCAGCAGAAGAGGCTGCCCAGCAAAGTCACACTGACCAAGGTGGTGTCCAGGTGCCCACCAGCTCAGACCTGGGCTGTATCTGGTGAGTTTGAGTGCCCCCACAGCCTAGTGCCTGGAAGGGCATCCTCACACTGCAGCTTGGGCCCGCCAGGCCCGAGTGTAAGCTGGAGGCAAGCACCTGCCCCAACCTCACTCACTCACCATAGGACAGAGGCAGACTCGGGCCAGCGTCATGGTGAAGGTTGCCATGGTGACAGGATGGAAGTCGAGGATCTTGGGGTAGATGTCCAGTGGGGATAGTGTCTGCAGCGGGGACAGCAAGAGGTCTCAGCAGGACTGGAGAGGGACCAGACACCCTGTGGAGGGCAGGGCAGAGTCCTCACCCCAGAAGTGATGATGACTGACTGGAAGCGCTCAAACACGGGCTTGATGGCCAGGGAGGCGTCCATACAGCTGCAGGACAACAGTAGTGAGGGAGAGGCAGGGGCAGCGACCAGGTCTGTCCCACCCACACAGGGTAGCACCTCACCTGAAGTGTAGGATGGGGTTGGTGATGGTCGGGGTTCTGTCATCAAAGGGTTCAATGATGATAGTGAAGCCTGGGGGGAGGGGCAAGGCTGCTGATCACGTGATTTGTTGCTTTGCTTCACCTTGATCCCCGCAACAGACTGCAAACACCTGCAGGCTGTCCCCTTCTCTGCATGCCTGTGCTCTGCAAATGTTCCCGTGCAGAAGCAGAGCCTGATCACCACAGCCAAGATCCCTCCCAGCCTTCTCCTGGGCAGTTCTGCTCCCCAAACCCCACTGCATGTCATCACTCCTGCAGGCCATCTGGCCCTGCCCACCCCTGTTCCTGCCAGAGCAGCTAGGGAAAGACTGGGGCATCCCAAGTAGGCTCCTGTTCACATACTCCTCCCATGACCCAGAAATTTCCATGGGACCCCCAGGGCCACCCTTGCTGGTATCCTGTGTGACCTCCACTCCCCAGGGACTCTGAGCTTTCGTCCCCTGCCTGGTTGGTCTTTGGAGGTTGCATTCCAGAGCCCCCTGGGAGGCTGGTGCTGCTGCTCCTGGCAACACAACCATGTTTCCTAGTATCACTTTCTGAAATTACTGTGTCTGCTCCTGGGTTTCCCCTCTAGACCACGACTTACAGACGGTCCGGGATGAGGTCTTAGTTCCCACTGCTTCCACATCGCTAGCCCTGGCCTGTTTGTTGACTGAGTAAACGAATACATTTCATGGATTCTGTTTCACTTGACAAAAGCTATCAAATCCTACTTGTCCAGTCCTGAGCTGGGGACGCAGTGGTGACCAATACATCCTCTGCCCTGCCCACAATGGCTCCCAGTACACTAGGAGCCAGGTATCTCCAGAGAGCAACGATCAGAGAGGGTGGCTGAGACAGGAGCCCTGAGGAGGGTCCAGGCTAGCACAGGGTCAGGGGGCTTCCCGAGGGCTAAAGAACTCAGGCAGGTAGCTGGGGGACAAGAACGAGGAAGGCTGCTCCCAGCAAGCCAGTGTGACATGCTGGTAGGTGGGGCCAGATGAGGGCCAGAAACAGAAGGAAGCAGGCAGCCCTGAGGTGGGGCTGACAGAGGGAGGCCATCCTCCTGCCCAGGCTGGCCCAGCTGCAGGATGCTGGCTAGCTGACCTGGTTTCCTGGACACTCTAGTAATCCCTGGGGATCAGCTTGAGCCCTTTCAGCTTAAAGCTGGGAAAATGGAGGGGGAACCCTCAACAAGAACCTCAAGAGCCTCCAGAATGTTCTTCTCCTGCAAGCTAGGACTCTGTGCAGTAGCCTTCACCGCTGTGCACGAGGTCCTCACACCAGCCAATGCGCTCCATGCCCTGGCCTCTTCCTCCTGCAGTTCTCCAGGCCACCCCTTCTCTGATCCCATGGTGCCTGGCCACCTCTTCAGTCCCAGCCAGACTTATCTCTATAGCACCAGTTTCACCAAGTACATCCTTGTTCAGAACCTGCCATGGCTCCCAGTGTTGTCAGTTACAGAATGCTCCTCACCCTGCTCAGCATGTGAACCACTGCATACCCTGATCGTCCCCAGAGAGCACCTCTGAAAACACGAATCTCAGCATGACACTAACTCACTCTGGAACCATGTGTGCCCCCCGCCCCAGTGCCCTCAGGAGTTGAAAATTCCAGGGCCTTGCCTGCTAACACTCCACCAGACTCAGCTGGGACCCTGAGTCCTGCTGTCTGAAGCCCAGCAGAGGTGACAAAGGGGAGCTTACCTTTGGCGTAGGTGCTGACAAGGGTGGCGAAGTTAGCAAGGAGGGTAAGTGGGGAGAAGTCGGCCAGGTCGGTGATCTCCAAGGTATGCAGGAGGGAGCGCAGGCGCTCAGCACAGAACCTGGTGCAGGCATTGGTGGGGGGAGAGGGAGACAGCAATCTGACAGCAGCCCCTGTCCGTAGTCAGGCTTGTCCACTGTTGGAGCTCACATGTTTCTGCAGGCATCTGGTCATTCCACTAGGCCAGCAGGGAGGCCTGGTCAGAATGGCCAGTGTCCTGACACTCTTCAAAGGCATACAGAGCAACCACCCAAGATGGCACACAGAGCATGGTCAGGTCACACAGGCATGCTCATGAGCAAGCTCTTATCAAGACAAGACTTACAACAGGAAGCCAGTCACTCTGCTCTGACCTGGTGACACAGTCATATGGATGACTACCACACTGGCCCCTCAGCTAGTGTCATGGTCCCCCATGCTCAAATCAGGACAGCTACACACACTTTCAGCAGCACGGATGACATGCTACCTATGCCCACGCACACAGAGAGGCACCAGGTGGGCCTGCAGCTCACCCTTGAGGACAACCCCAGAGCAGGACAGCCTGACCAAGGAGCTAGGGTCAAGTCTCCTGAGGGCAGCCCTGTCTGTCTCAGTCACCACTGTGTCCCTAGCACACTGCAGGCACCTGGGGAATGTGGGTAATGGCCGAGTCCTGTTAGGGGACAGGCAGACTAACACCAAGGGCTGCCCTCTCCCTTGGGAACGATGGTGGGGTGTGTGCTTCAGCACCCTACAGGCCTGGCTTCAAAGTCTCTCCCCTACACAGTCAAAGGTCTGTGACTCTGGGAAGGCTTCCCTTCTGGTGTTCACATCTGCACATGGAGATGCAGCTGAGGTAGAGAACGAGCTGGGCCCGTCATCACTGCTCAGGACTGAGTAGGCCCTTCACTGCCTCCCCCTCACCCGCCCACAAAACTGACAGGAGGCTGGGAGATGGCTCAGCAGCTAAGGCATTCCCACAAGTATCAGGACCAAAGCTCTGCTCCTGAGCACTTAAGGAAACGGGTGGGCATGATGTCCTGTAATCCCAGCATATGGGAGGAGGGCACAGGGTACCCCTAAAACAAGCTAGTCAAGGGGCATCAGTGAGCTCTGAGTTCCAGCGAGCAACTGTCTCAATAATACAGGGCGGTGAGCAGATAAGGAGCCACAAGAGGTTACCTCAGGCCTCCACAGACTAATACACACATTAAGTGCATGTACCCACAGTACAGGGCACACCACACACACCACACACACACGCCAAGGAGAGCTGTTCATGTATTTGCCTGTAACCCTTCGGGAGGGCCTGGGGTGTGGCTCAGTGGTAGAGAGCTTCTGGGTTCTAATTTTAGCAGCACGGGCTGGAGCGATGGCTCAGGGGTTAGTGCATGTACCGCTTCTGCAGAGAACCTGGGATGGATTTCCAGCACCCATGTCAGGCGGCTCACCATCATCTGTCATCCCAGCTCCAGGGAATCTGACACCCTTTTGGTCTCTGCAGGCACCCCCACATGCATACACACACAAACACGCAAGTGTTTTTTTAAACAGCAACACACAGAAACCCTAAGAAGCGAGAATGGCGATGCCCCCAGGTCACACTGGACAGAGTCAGAGGACACAACAGACTGCCCAAAACAGTAAAGGCCAAATAGAGTACCTCCTCCAGACCGGAGCCACACTCCAGAAGGCTGACTCCTGAATGTGCTGAGGCTGCAGGTGGCAAAGCTACCTTAGGCTGCAGTGAGGGCAGTGCTAGGCAGTGAGAGGCACTGGATGCAGCAGACACACATGTGGGGTTGCAGAGCATGTCCTCCTAACTCCCAGGTCCAACTGGCCTCAGCGCCCATCCAGGGCCTCAACCCAGGCCCATCCAGCTGATTCTCCACTGTCCCCTCCCCTGCACATGTGGCCCCAGGGAGCCCCAGACCCCACAGTCCTATGGGATCCCCAATCTGAGTCATCTTATGTCACTGGCCCTCCACTAAGATCTTGTAGACTGGGCTTGCGGACTGACCACTGCGGGCTGTACCTGAGGGGCTTGCGCTGGATGCACACACGCTGGGCCAGGCCGCTCAGGAAGGCAGGTGGACTCTCCTGCACCACATGCTGCACACGCAGCCGCCACTTGACATACTCCAGCAGCCGTCGCAGGAAGCCCAGGAAGTGCTCGGCTGTGCGGATGGAGCCTGGTACCGCCTCTGCAGGGAGACCAGAATCAGCTGGTACAGGAGGGACATGGAGGGGGGCAGCAAATAGACAGGTGAGAGGCAGGATGGCAGCTCACCCTTCAGCACCTCATCTGGCAGCACAGGGTTGGCCAGGTGGGCATCCGTCTCCCGAGCAGCGCTGGCCTCCCGCAGCCCCTCCACCAGGCGCCGGTATTCATCCCGAAGCCGCTGCTCATCTGTCTCCTTGATCCTGTTGGTGACACAAGAAAGGGCTGGAATGGGGCCAGTGTCCAGGGACCAATGAGGCAGACACAGGAGACAGGGAACAGAGTGGGCACCACAGCCTCTGGTGCATCCTGCACCTGAGCACTGTCTTCTGCAGGGTATCAAGGTTGCCCTGACAACGGTCCAGGATCCTCCGGGTGAGGTTGACACTCATGGAATCGATGCAGACATTGTCTAGAGAGGAAAGGGGAGGGAGCTGGAATCAGCCAGGCTCAAGGGATGGTGATCAGAGAAGTGGCCATCACCTGCACCCTGGCTCCCTCCTCACCGATGTTGTGGGCTTCATCAAAGACCACGACAGCCTTGCGGGCCAGCTCCTTGGACACCAGATCTGCGATCTTGGGGTCCAGGAGGTAGTGGTAGCTATAGACCACCACATTGGCATGCAGAATCTGGGCAGAAGGAGAGCAGATCTGTCACTCCCGGCTCTGCTGCCCTCACTGCCAGGCCACAAGGACACAGCAGATGGATGGAGACATAGACAGGCAACCCACGTAAGGCACAGACAGAGGTAAGGGAGAGACCGTGAGACAGCCTGGGCACTGACTAATAAGGAGATGCAGCGGGGAGACAGTCAAGCACACAGAAGGCCGACAGGGCTCATGTCTATAATCCCAAGAGTTGGAAAGCTGAGGCGGGAGAATTACCACAAGTTTCTGGCCAGCCTGGGCTACAAAGTGAGATCCTGCCTCTAAAAGAAACAAAATAAAACATAAAAGCCCCAGCCTCCTCACCGAATAGCGGGCCAGGAAGTAAGGGCACCAGCCCTGCCGCTGCCCCAGGGCTTTTAAATCATCCAGGTTATAGATGCCTGAGGGGAGAGGCACCTGGCGTCCATGGGCATCAAATTCCTGGGGCAAGGCGAAGAGGATGGCAGGATCAGTAAGAGCAGCTGCTGCCCTGTGTGTCTCCGCCCTCCCCAGCCCAGGTCCCTTCCTGGCACCTCATAAAAGCGGCAGTGGGGCAGACTGGCATCCTGCTGGTACTGTGCCCGTATATAGGAGGCCGTGAGGCTGTGGCACTTCCCATCGACGTCCTTCCCAAAGCGCAGGGGTGTTACCTGGGGGTATAGGGGGCACCTTAGGACCCACAAGGACTATGATACACACCAGCTCCTCCAACCTGGACCTCCATGCTCTAAGCTGCCTTGTATGGCAGGCCGGCTGTGGTTTACAGAAAACCGAACCTTCCAGCTGTTTCATTCTTAGTTAAGAAAAACAATCTATCACTGACCTGGGCATGATGGCACACACCTGTAATCCCAGTTGCTGAAGAAGTTAAGGCAGGAGGACTGCATGTTCAAGACCAACCTGGGCAACTCAGTGAGACCCCATCTCAAAATAAAATGGAAGAAAAGGATGGAGTTGTAGCTCAGTGGTAGAGTGCCTGCCTAGCATAGTCAAGGCCCCGGGTGCTGTTCATATTAGAGAAGCTAATAAATACTTAAAAACCATATTAAATGACTTGAGGGAGCTGGAGATATGGTTCCACAGGGGTTCAGCGGTTAAGAGCACTGGCTGCTCTTGTAGAGGACCTGGGTTGGATTCCCAACAAACATCTGGTAGCTAACAACTATGTGTAACTCCAGGGGATCTGACACCCTCTTCTGTCCTCCACAGGCACCAGATACGCACATGTACACTTACAGACATGCAAACACTCATATACATAAAAATAAATAAACCTAAAAAAAAAAGAAAAAACAAAAAGCAACTTGAAGCTGAACATGGTGGTTCATGCCTTTAGTCCCAGCACTACAGCAGAAGCAGAGGCAGGAGGATCTGAGATCAAGGTCAGCCTGGTCTATATGGAAAGTTTCAGGCCAGCTGGGGCTACAGGGAGACCCTGTCTCAAAAAACAATACAAAGAACAAAAGAAACCCCGAAAAACTCAGAAGACCAAATAAACAAAAACTCTAGGGGGGCTCGAGAGATGGCTCAGCAGTTAAAAGCATCATACTGCATTTTAAGAGGACCTGATTTTCATTTCCAGCACCCACATTAGGCAGCTCACAATCACCTGTAACTGCAGCTCAAGGGGATCCAATGCCCTCTTCTGGCTTCACATGCACAAACACACATTCATACTCACCATTAATATAAACTCTTTTTAAAAAAATATACTTTATTCATTATTTTTATTTTATGTGTATGAGTGTATTGCCTGCATGTATGTGAGTGCACCTGTGTCCTGCAAAGGGTGCTGGGAATTGAACCCGGGTCCTCACAAGAGCAATCAGTGCTCTTAACCGCTGAGCCATCTCTCCAGCCCCTAATATAAAATCTTTTTTTTTTTTTTTTTTTGGTCTTTTTGAGACAGGGTCTCCCTGTAGCTCCAGCTGCCCTGGAACTCACTATGTAGACCAGGCTGGCCTTGAACTCACAGAGATCCGTCTGCCTCTGCCTCCCAGTTGCTGGGATTAAAGGTGTGCGCCACCACACCCGGCTTTATAAAATCTTTTAAGAAAGCAAAACCACTACCTCCTGGACCCACAAGATCCCCTATTTCACGTTGAATATCCCTTCTCTGAATACAGAGCAAGTAGCATTTTGGTTTCAGACGTGTGGATTCTGGGACATCTGCACATACATAACAAATACTCAGGATAGGATCTAAGGCTGACATGAAGTTAATGACATTTTATAGATATAAAAATATCCAATACTTGCAGCACACTATCATTTGACTTTAACCTATCCCATGAGGTCAAATCTGGAGTTTTCCTCATGTGCTGCCTGCCATATGGGCTTTCAAGGACTCCTTCAAATGCAAGGTGTGTGTCACTATGCCTGGCAATTTTCTGGTTTTTGAGACAGGGTCTCCCTGTAGCCCCTGCTGGGAGGGGTCAGCCTACCTCTGCCTCCTGAGTATAGGGATTAAAGGCAGTCTCACTATGTAGACCAAGCTGGCTCCCAATTCACAAGAGATCCACCTGTCCTCTGCTTCCCAAGTATTGGGGTTAAAGGTGTGCACTACCACACCTGGCTCAATTTTTTTTTTTTTTTCAGTCACTGTCTCACTCATGAACCTGATGAGGAAGGCACTTGGTTATCCCAATTTACAGAAAGGAAAACTGAGGCCCTTACAGTAGAAATCACCTGTCCAAAAGTACACTATTAAATTCAAGTCAGGAAACAACAGCGGTTTTTTTTAGCCTTTCCTGGGCTGGAGGAAGGCTCCTTGAAGAAGGTGTAAACCTGGGCAAGGAAGGATGAGTCAAAACCTGACAACCCAGAAGGGAATTCTATGCACGGCCCCACAACCAGCTGAGAGCTTTATTGTGGGGATGTGGGGCTTGCATCGGTGGGGAGTTTTCTTAGATGCAGGGTGAGGGCCAGGCTCACCTCAGGATGGATACACAGGTTCTTGCGGGAGCTCAAGGCCAGCCCTAGAAATGGCAGCTGCTCGCCCTCCTGCTTCTCGTAGAAGCTGAGAAGCTTGCGAAGCTCTTCAATGACCTGCAGTCCATAGGAGAAGCTTCAGGAGATGGATAGTCCCTGCCAGTCAGGCTCCACCCCTTCTCAGCTTCCCACCCCTGCAAGACTAGTGAGAAAGTCACTAGGGCACCCCCTCAACCCAGGCCAGGGTCAGAGCACTATTTCGTATCCCCTGCCCACCTTCTCAATCTCTGGCACAGTCCTGGAGCAGTAGATGAGTTTGGTAACCTCCAGCGGATACGCCTGTGGATGACAGATGGTCTAAGCCCAGTCCAGCCCTTCCTGCTTTCCACTCTGCAAGCTCAGAGGTTACTTACCCGCTGGTAAGCCATGATGAGGGCCAGCAGCGACACTGTCTTCCCAGTGCCCGAGGGCATCTCCAGGACTCCATGACCCTGCGGCAGGGGGTGGGGGGGGTGTCACAGAAAAGACAAGACACACGCTCTCAGAACCTTAGGGACATAAACTCTGGGGACCTCCCTGACAGACCACCACCTAGGACAGCAAGACAACACAACAGGTAAATGTCAGGGCCCCGGGGAGCAGTGGCTTTTATCTCCATTTCTCTTTTCTTAAAAGACTTTTTTTTTTTTTTTTTTTTTTTTGGTCTTTTTGAGACAGGGTCTCCCTGTAGCCCCAGCTGTCCTGGAGCTCACTACGTAGACCAGGCTGGCCTTGAACTCACAGAGATCTGCCTGCCTCTGCCTCCCGAGTGCTGGGATTAAAGGCATGTGCCACCATGCACAACTAGTTGGTTTTTTTTGAGACATGGTCTTGCTACGCAGCCCAGGCTAGCCTCTAAACTCCCAGTAATGCTCCTTCCCGCCTCGGCCTCCCCAGTGCTGGCATTGCAAGCTTGCACCACCCCTCCCGGCTCCCCACCCAGGCTGCAGCCAGCAGATCCGGGGGCGTCTTGCAGCTGGGAAGCCCCGTCCTGCATCCAGTGTCCAGGTCCGACACCCACCTTGGCGTCCAGCGTGCGCTTGAGCTCCAGCATGTAGGAGAACTGCTCCGGGTAGATGTAGTCGTAGGGGAAGTAGACCAGCAGTCCGTCCACGTTGAGCCTGGAGGCGGCGGCACCGTTGGCACCCGGAACCCGCCGCCCGCTCCGGCCTCCGGGCCCCCCGAAGCCCCTCCGAGTCCTCCGCCTCCGTCCCGCCCCCGCAGCCACCCTAGGCCAACCCCGTAGCCTCCCCGCGCCGCGCCCGCGCCCCAGGGACGCCCGCGGGTCGCCCCATCTTTCAGCTCCGCGGCCTGCCGCCCACCCCAGCCCCCTCTCTCACTTCATGGCGGCGGCCTCGGCTACCAGAGCGGTCCACTCGCATGGCTCATGAATATTTAATAAGGAGGCGCCCGCCGAGGGCTCCGCCCCCAGGGAGCGGCTCCACCTTCCTCGCGATGTCATTGGCTGAGCCCGCCCGTCACTCCGCTAGGGCGGAGCCAATCGGCAGACCGCGCGCGCGCACGGAGACGCAAAGCCGGCCTCCTGAGAGAGGCGGTTCTGAAGGCTTCGCAGCGGATCACCGAGGAGTCAGAACAGAACGTGGAAGAGATCCGAGAGAATCGATCCAATTCATTGAGTCTTTTAAGATTTTTCCGGGATGGCCCACTAGTGAACTTAAGATTTTCCAGGTTGTCCCACTAGTAAACAGTCTAAGGGACAGTAACTGAGAGCTGGGGTCCTTTTAGGAGTCCATGTGCTACCAATGGTTTACCTGCACCAGAAGAGCATGAATTTATAAAATATTTATTTAGGGCCGGGCGTGGTGGCTCACGCCTTTAGTCCCAGCACTCAGAGACAGAGGCAGGCGGATCTCTGAGAGATGGAGGCTAGCCTGATCTACATAGCTAGTTCCAGACCAGCTGGGGCTACAGGGAGGCCCTGTCTCAACAACAACATACATATATATATATGGATCTAGAGCAAGAAGCAATTTATAAACAGCTCCTCCCATTTATTGAGCATCTTCTGTAGCCAGACCATACCACATGTTTTAAATTTTTATTTATTTTTAATCATGTGTGTGTGGGAACGCTCGCGCACGTTAATACTGGAGCCCATGGAGGCCAGAGGTCTTTGATTCTGTGGAGCTGTAATTACGGGTGATTGTTATCTGCCTGATGTAGGCTCTGGGACTCAAACTCAGGTCTTCTGGAAGAGCAATACATGCACTTACCTACTGAGCCGCCTCTCCAGTCCCATGGTTTTTAATTAGTTAATTAATTTTGGGTGTTTTGTTTGTTTTCAGATATAGGGTCTCCTGCACCCCAGGCTGACCACTAACTCACTCTAGCAGAGGATGACCTTGAACTTCTGAAACACAAAGGTAAATAAAAACCTCAGTGCCTGTCCTCAAGGAATGATACTAAATGACCAATTAATATATGATTATAAGCTGTGGTGATTCCAGCACTCAGGGGGCAGAGGCAGGCAGATCTCTGTGAGTTCAGGGCCAACCTAGTCTATATAGTGAATTTCAGGCCAACCAAGGTACAGAGTGAGACCTTGTCTCAAGAAAAAAAATTAATTAAATTAAAATTTAAAAATAGATAATATATGTACATACAGTTATATGTTGGGTGTGGTGGCACAAATCTGTAAATCTAGCACTCAGGACAGAAGCAGGAGGATCTCTGCAAGTTCTAGTCCTGCCTAATCTACTTAGGGAGTTCCAAGTCAGCCAGGACTACAGAGTGGGACTGTGACTCATTAATTATTTAATTAAACAGCAGGCGTGGTGGTTCATATCTGTAATCTAAGGATTTAGGAGAGTGAGGCAGGAAGTTTGCTAATTGGAGACTTATCTGAACTATAGAGTGAGACCCTGTCTCAAAAAAATCAAACAAACAAAAATAAATAAAATAGAGGGGCTGGAGAGATGGCTCAGTGATTAAGAGCACTGACTGCTCTTGCAGAAGATCTAGATTGGGTTCCCAGCCACCACATGATGGCTAATAACCATGTGTAACTCCAGTTCCAGGGGACCCAACACCCTCTTCTGATCTCTGAAGCCATTACACAACACAGGTACATCTACATACAGGCAGGCAATACACTCATACACATAAAAATAATAAAGTTGGGCATGGTGGCACATGCCTTTAATCTCAGCACTCAGGAGGCAGAGGTGGGCAGATTTCTGTGAGAGCAAGGCCAGCCTGGTCTCCATAGTGAGTTCTAGGCCAACTGTGGCTACAGAGAGCCCTCTGTCTCAAAAAAAAAAAATTAAAAATTAGAATTAAAAGTTAAAAAGTCCAAAAATCACCTAAACAAAAACAATATATATAATAAAGAAAGCTGTGATGTCTAAGTGTTTTAGAACACTTTCTGGTCTTCCAAAGGGCAGCCTCCACCCATATCAGGCAGCTTACAATAGCATGTAACTCCAGTTCCAGGGGATCTGATGACCTCTTCTGGACTCCAAGGATACCTGCATTCCTGTGTGTGTGCACACACACAACAACATATAGACACATAATTAGAAAGTAATTTTGAACTTTTTTTTTTTGGTCTTTTTGAGACAGGGTCTCCCTGTAGACCCAGCTGTCCTGGAACTCACTATGGAGACCAGGCTGGCCTTGAACTCACAGACATCAGCCTACCTCTGCCTCCCAAGGGCTGGGATAAAAGGCTTGTGCCATCATGCCTGGCTTCAGCCCCCCCTTTCTTTAAAAAAAAATTAGTGCCAGGAGTGGTGGCGCAAGCCTTTCATCCCAGCACTTAGGAGGCAGAGGCAGGCAGATCTCTGTGAGTTCGAGATCAGTCTGGTCTTCATAGTGAGTTCCAGGCCAGTTGTAGCTACAGGGAGATCCTGTCTCAAAAAAAAGACAAAAAAAAAAAGTTACATCTTACTTATTGTGTGTGTGTGTGTGTGTGTGTGTGTGTGTGCACTTGTGCATGCAGGTCAAGATGCATAAGTGGAAGTGTTGCTAAAATACCTTCTGGGAGGCATGCATGGTGTCCAGCCCTCCTTTCCCACCATCCTTATGACAAAACGAGGTATAATTTCTCCAAACTACATTTTGGGGAACCAAAGAATTTATTGGGCTTCCATATAGATCAATGGGTGAGGGGGTTACTTACAGAGGCATGAGTAGGCCTTCCTCTACGTTATAGCAGGGACTCTATGACCTCACGGTGGTTGCCCAAGATGGTGAAAGCCACCCCCTCTTTCTAGCTTCCCCTGTCCCTAACCTCAGTCCCTCCTCCATGAACCACTCAGGCCAGTTGGTTGGATGGAGGCATGACTGACTCTTCGCCTCCCCTCCTACGAAAAGTTTGTGATGTTCATAGCAAGCAAGTGAATTCAACTTCAGAAGAAGGCATCTGTCCACTGCTTTCCAGTCTAGCTTGCCAGGTGAAGGACAAATCCATACAACAGGAGGTCAGAGAACAACTTGCAGGAATCAGTTCTTTCCTTTCACCATGTGGTCAAAAGGCAAGTGCCTCTACCCACTGAGCCATCTCACCATCTTCACCACTCTCTCTCTGTTTGAGAGAGGCCTGGAACTCATTGTGTAGCCCAGGCTGACCTCTAACTTCCGATTCCCCTACCTTAGATTCCTGAGGGCTGGGATGACAGGGTTAGGCAACTGTGCCTGGTATTTCTTCTGCCTGGAATGCTGCTTAGCTTAATGTCCACATGGCTCAGATTTACTTATTTATTTTTGTTTTGTAAATGTCAGTTTCTTTTTACTACATTTTATTTATTGTTTAGTAGTACTCACTATGTAGATCAGGCTGGCCTTGGTCTCACAGAGATTCCTCTGCCTCTGCCTCACTAGTGCTATTGGGTCTGGACTGTCTCAGATTTTTTAAGTAACAGGAGGACTTGGGATATAGCCTAGTGGTTAGAGTATTTTCCTTGCATGTTCAAGTGTTGGGCCTTTGGGACCCTCATACTTGCGGCATAGAGGAAAATAAGGCCTAATATAACTTCCTGAGCTTGACTAAAGTTTAGCGACCTGTCTCTGGCCCCTCGTGGAGGTGACTCAGCAGGGCCTGATTTCAGACTGCCTCTGCCCAGTAACAGCTGGTGTGGTAAATTCCCAGTGGCCCAGAGATGACATATTCCTAGACCCACCCCACCTTTCCATACCTCTTTTACTTAAACTATGTAAGTTGATGCCTGTTGCAAATGAGTTCCTGCCTCCACAAGACTTCCGACACCATCCCACTCAGCCCCCAAGACAGGGACCCAGGCTGGTCCTGGCCTCTACCCCTGTGCCGTACCTGTCCGAGCGCCCGGACACGTGCCCCGTGTGAGGAGCTGCCTATCACGAAGTTTGTGGATGAGTGTTCCCCCATAAGTTATGGGGAAGTCTAGTTCTAAGCCTGACCCCTCTTTAGATTCCCTCAGGGTCCTACTCAAGAGCAGGGGCCTTGACTTCTCAGACAGCCAAGCTCTCCAGGCATGGGGATACCTGCTAATGATCGCACTCTGGCTTCCGGAAAGCAACCTCTTTGGCTTCTGGAAAGCAACCTCTTTGATTGGGATACTTGGGATAGAGTTGAAAAGTTGATCAGACGGGCCCAGGTAGAAAAAGGGTAAATACCTCCTCTGGGAGCGCTCCCCACCGTGTCAGCCTTGAAGGGCTGCTTCCCCTGACCCCCGTCCCCCTAAGAAACCGGTGGAGGCTCGGGTCCCAGCTAAGGCTGTTGACCCAGTCCTTGAGGTACAACAGAGCCCAGCGCCGAATCCCCGCTGGGCGGTGCAACGCGAGAAATGTGGCCTACGAGAAATGCGGCGTTCGGAAGACCCACTCCCCAGCTCCGCTCATGGGGGCCCTAAGTCCTTCTGATCGAGCCCAGCCCAAGGACGGTGTGAGGCCGGTATCGGCCCCTGGCCCGCTGGGCCCAGGTCTTCCTGGAGTCCGGTTGCTTGGGAATGTAGCCCAAAGGGTGGTAAACTCCATCTAAGGCTAAATACCGGCAGGAGACCGATAGTCAACAAGTACCATAAGGGAAAGTTGAAAAGAACTTTGAGGTGAGAGTTCAAGAGGGCCTGAAACCGTTAAGAGGTAAAGGGGTGGGGTCCGTGCAGTCCCCCAAGAGGATTCAACCCAGCAGCGCGTCCAACCCGGCCGAGGGTCCCAGCGGATCTTTCCCGCTCCCCAATCCTCCCGACCCTTCCACCCGTCCAGTCTCCTCCCCAAGATCCGCTGTCGTCAACCCCCCACTCTCTGGAGTCGGGGGTGTAGTCGCTCCGGTGGGGGGGGCGGGGGGGGCAGGGGACCGCCCTGGTCAGGCGCGTTTCCACAGTCGGCGGTGCGCTGCGACGGCTGGGAAGGCCCGGTTTGGGGAAGGTGGCTCGGGGGCCCCGACTAGT